TTGGAGACCCCTGCTGTATATGACATACAAAAAGAAAATCCACACCAAAGATCTCTCCTTTTTGAAAATCCTTGTCCAGTAATCAGCAAATAAATGACATACTTTACTTTAGGGTCAGCCTTATTTTATGAATCATGTCATGCTAATAATTTACCTAACTGTTGTTGTGTTATTAGCCGGTTAGCCGGTACCGAAGGAGGAAGCCAAAGGAATCCACTGGATGACGTGGACCTGCGTTCTCGGACCGGAGGTCAACGGAACAACGGAATCATATTCCAACGTCAACGACATCAATTCTGTGGACGCAAACTACAGCAGTGCAGTGCTGGTGACGGGCGACGACTTCGGCCTCGTCAAACTCTTCCGATTCCCTTGTCTTAAAAAAGGTCAGCTTGGTTTTGTGTCATCGGTTTCTGTGTGATCAGTGCTGAACAAACCAGTGTGCGCTAACAAATGTGATTCTTTCAGCTGCCAAATTCAAGAAATACATCGGCCACTCTGCCCATGTGACCAATGTGCGCTGGTCACATGACCTGCAGTGGGTTCTGAGCACAGGTGGAGCCGATCACTCTGTCTTCCAGTGGAGGTTTCTGCCGGAGGGAGTCATGAATGGAGTTCTGGAGCCGCTGCTGCAAGGTGATTCAATCCACCGATCCAGGGTTTCCATCATCAAATCAATTTAATTAAATAAGTACATCGAGGGAAGAGCGGCACGGTGTTCATTTACACGTGTTCAGAGTGGCTCGATTCACAGGCAATGCTGCTGGAGAAAGATTATTCTACAGGCTGCCAATTAAAACCTTTTTCAGAAGGGTAAAGTGTGCCATTTTTAGTTAAGTTGGATGATAAAATACTTATTCCAGTTTATTGTGGGACATGAAAACCTGTTCGGAAATGGTCCGTATTTATGCATTACTGAAATTACTGGGTTTTCACAATCATGAAGCGAAAAAAATTTTAAAAAAACTGCAATTTTATCCTCTCGTTGCTGGAAAATGTAGCGATTCAGTATTTAAACTGTTATTAATAAAAGTCGTGGGGCAGCGTTGACAAGTTTCTTTTCTCCTGGATGTGTGAGCTGTGCGATCTACGATATGTGTGTGTGTGTGTGTGTGTGTGTGTGTGTGTGTGTGTGAGTATGAAGCCAGACTAACAGATGTGGATAATGCAATTGTAGCTTGGATTCGTCTAGCACATCCATTCAAAAGCTTTTTAGCAGCGCAGTAATATAGAACGGTAATTAAAGGCTCTAATGCACACCAGTATATGTGTGTGTATTGTAGGAGCTAGACGACGTATGACGACGTGTGACGGCATAGTAGTGGTGTCCCAATTCTTAGGGGAATATTTTCAGGGAAGGGGTATAAAATAGAATTGGGATTGGGCCAAAATCAGCCTATATCAAAAACCCATCACATGCGTTGAACCACTATATAATGCTATTATAATACTATATAAGAGCCTAGGCTAAGGCTATATACCTGTCCCCATCCCCCTCTCCCCTGCCCAGCCGGTCCGCGAGAATTTTTTCCAAACGTAATCGGTCCGTGGTGTAAAAAAGGTTGGAGACCCCTGCTGTATATGACATACAAAAAGAAAATCCACACCAAAGATCTCTCCTTTTTGAAAATCCTTGTCCAGTAATCAGCAAATAAATGACATACTTTACTTTAGGGTCAGCCTTATTTTATGAATCATGTCATGCTAATAATTTACCTAACTGTTGTTGTGTTATTAGCCGGTAAATTCATGCCGAAGGAGGAAGCCAAAGGAATCCACTGGATGACGTGGACCTGCGTTCTCGGACCGGAGGTCAACGGAATCTGGCCTAAATATTCCAACGTCAACGACATCAATTCTGTGGACGCAAACTACAGCAGTGCAGTGCTGGTGACGGGCGACGACTTCGGCCTCGTCAAACTCTTCCGATTCCCTTGTCTTAAAAAAGGTCAGCTTGGTTTTGTGTCATCGGTTTCTGTGTGATCAGTGCTGAACAAACCAGTGTGCGCTAACAAATGTGATTCTTTCAGCTGCCAAATTCAAGAAATACATCGGCCACTCTGCCCATGTGACCAATGTGCGCTGGTCACATGACCTGCAGTGGGTTCTGAGCACAGGTGGAGCCGATCACTCTGTCTTCCAGTGGAGGTTTCTGCCGGAGGGAGTCATGAATGGAGTTCTGGAGCCGCTGCTGCAAGGTGATTCAATCCACCGATCCAGGGTTTCCATCATCAAATCAATTTAATTAAATAAGTACATCGAGGGAAGAGCGGCACGGTGTTCATTTACACGTGTTCAGAGTGGCTCGATTCACAGGCAATGCTGCTGGAGAAAGATTATTCTACAGGCTGCCAATTAAAACCTTTTTCAGAAGGGTAAAGTGTGCCATTTTTAGTTAAGTTGGATGATAAAATACTTATTCCAGTTTATTGTGGGACATGAAAACCTGTTCGGAAATGGTCCGTATTTATGCATTACTGAAATTACTGGGTTTTCACAATCATGAAGCGTATGGAAATGTCGGAATTTTAAATTGTGAAGAATTAATTAAGAATTTAAGACGTTGTAGTTTTGTAACTTAAATTAAAATGAATTGCATAATATATATTATCATTTTAATATCTAGAATTTATAAATAATGGATTCATTCTGTAAATATATTTTTATTTATTTTTATATATATATATATATATATAGTAAATATATTTATACATATATATACAGTATATATATATAGGAAAACTATAACTCCTATAGTAACATTTTTTTAAATATAATATATAAATTATATAGATAATATGAATGCATAATATAATATACAATGTACATTTTTTAATGGATTATTTATAATTAATGGATTCATTCTGTAAATATAAAATCATATAATACATCATAAATATATGTAATTACAAATGATATATTAAGAATTCAAAAATGTATTCTAATATATAAATATAAATTATATAGATAATATTAGGCCAAAAAATGTTAGAAATTATTTTTTTATTATTTTACAGGACAATTGTACTATACAACAATAATATGTTTATATAGGCATTTTATAATTAGTTAAAACAAAATAATAATATAAAATAAATAACACATTAAATATATATTAATATATAATTTATGTAAATATTAATATACAATTGATATAAATATAAAATAATAATAAAAGTCATATTTATATGCAGCCCTATATATAAATAATTAAAAAATAAAAACAATCAAAATTAAACACTTACTAAAAATTATTAAATATTTTATCTGCTTACTTGCATGTTGTGACAACATCAGAGAACTGTGAAAATGCAAATGCGTTATTAAATTATTGAAATATTAAATTAAAATCTCAAAGGTTCTTTAAGTGAATATTTTCTATCCAAAGAGTTTGGCTGACAAAAAAAGTTTTGGAACCCCTGTACTGAATAGAAATGAGAATAGAGGTTTTAATATTACGTATTATTTTTATATTTGAATTTTGGACTATATAGTGAAAGCAGAAAGTCTGATAATGTTTTCCCGTTCACAGATAGCTACGCTGACTCTAACAGTGGCGAATCTGACTCCGACCTCTCCGACGTTCCCGAGCTGGACTCAGACATTGAACAGGAAGCCCAGATCAACTACGAGCGTCAGGCAAGAGACCCAAGTTCCCAAACTGAGAGGGTTTTATGTGACAGACGTGCTCGGCTGCTTTCATCCTGTTCCTCTCATTAATTTCACAGCTGATTGGCTAGTTGCTGTTGGCCTTTATGCTTTTTCTGAATCTCTGAATGTGTCTCTAGTGGATTTCTCATTTCTCATCTTCTCCTAAACACCCCTCAGGTGTATAAGGAAGATCTTCCTCAGCTCAAGAAGAAACTGGCTGGATCTCTGAAGAGGCAGAAAGCGCCAGACGAGGGGCTGCGCCTGCAGTTTGTCCACGGGTAAATTATGCATTTGAAATGAACACAGTGTGTCTCAATGTCTGTGACCCTGAATATATAGAATTGTAGAACAGTTCTTTCTGGTTCTCGAATCTGATTGGCTGAGAGGAGTGTGATATTCTAGTGATAACAGCACTCCAACCGTTTGTATCACTCCGCTTGCAGTATTTCTCACAGCGAGTGTCATGGCAGACGCCCAAATCCACTATTAACTTAATAAATAATACTGTTTTTGTGTCACGGACTGTAGTTTTAAGAGTTTTTAGGCGAGAATATACTTGTTTAGATTTCAAATATGCGGTTTGTTAATAAACGAGGGGCTGCGCCTGCAGTTTGTCCACGGGTAAATTATGCATTTGAAATGAACACAGTGTGTCTCAATGTCTGTGACCCTGAATATATAGAATTTTAGAACCGTTCTTTCTGGTTCTCGAATCTGATTGGCTAAGAGCAGTGTGATATTGTAGTGATAACAGCACTCCAACCGTTTGTATCACTCCGCTTGCAGTATTTCTCACAGCGAGTGTCATGGCAGACGCCCAAATCCACTATTAACTTAATAAATAATACTGTTTTTGTGTCACGGACTGTAGTTTTAAGAGTTTTTAGGCGAGAATATACTTGTTTAGATTTCAAATATGCGGTTTGTTAATAAAGATAAAGTCTATTTGAAAGTTTGCTGCTATGTTTTGGGAGATGTGAGCTCCAGGGCGTCAGCGGCCGATCAGCGCTCATGAACCCGCCGAGAGCAGCCTCACCTCGGCCAGAGCTTCTGGAATTAGCTGCTGGCTCTGATGTCTCTATAGTGGTTAAACATGAGATTTAATTCGTTTAGGGTGAATCTAACGGGCAGACTTCTATTATTTGTTCAGAGCAAATAGTTTTGGCTGAGAGCAACGTCTCATGACGTTATATTTTATATAAATGAGCGCTGCCTTTGTAGTTGATTTGTTCAATTTTACCACCATTAGACGGAATATATATATATATATATATATATATATATATATATATATATATATGTATATATATATATATATATATATATATATGTATATATATATATGTATATATATATAATTATTTAAAAATCATATATATATATATATATGATTTTTAAATTATTTTATATTTACAGAATTAATCCATTAATTGTAAATGTATAACTATTTAAACCTATAACATTTTCCTATTTTATCTCACAATTTTTTCTCACAAAATATATCTTATATCTTCTAGTTTGGTCTTTATAACTTGATTTAACTCTACAATTGTGAGTTTGTCAGTTTGTCAAGAGAGAATGACGAGTTGTTTTTTCTTATCAGAATTGTGAGATATAATCTCGGAATTGCGAGAAATAGGTCCGAATTTTGAAATATAAACTCAAAATGATCTTTTGTACTCTTTTATTCCATGGCTTCCACAGACTGCTACTTTAAAACTGTAATTTTCTGCCACCAGAAAAAAAGTCATCACTGTTTGCAAACACCGAAATTGGTCTATATTTACAGAATGATTCCATTAAAATGTCAAATTAGATAAATGTTAACAAAAATGTACAAAGTTAAACATATTTCATTATTGGTGTAATGTGCTAACTTTCAGACAGGTATAAATATTTGAAATTTTTTTTATTCTGTTTATCCTCAGGTACAGGGGCTACGACTGCAGGAATAATCTGTTCTACACTCAGGCCGGTGAGGTGGTGTATCATGTGGCGGCTGTGGCTGTGGTGTATAACAGACAGCAGCACACGCAGCGCTTTTACATCGGTCATGACGACGATATCCTGAGCCTCACTGTGCATCCGCTCAAAGATTATGTGGCCACCGGACAGGTGAGAGATTAACTAAACAACACGGCTGAAACTGTTGTCCACGAATCATACTTCAAACCGGATCGGATCACATTTAATTGATTTTTTTCCTAAACAGATTTCTATCAGATATGCCGAACAGTCAGATTTGAGCCGTCTCTGCAAGGCATGATAATAAAATAAATGCGGAGTATGCATATGTTTGTGTGTATGTCAGGTGGGTCGAGATCCGGCCGTCCATGTGTGGGACACCCAGACACTCAAGTGTTTATCTCTGCTGAAGGGTCAACATCAGCGCGGGGTTTGTGCTCTGGAGTTCACAGGTCAGACCCTGACATACATTTTACATATAAACCAGCTGAGAAACTTGAGATTTGGTTAAAATTATTGTTAAATGGTCATTTTCCCATTAACTTTTTTTTTGCATTGCATTGAATATTCTAACAAAATTCCCTGGTTTCAAGCAAAGTAATCAAATGCACCTGCATTAATGTTTATTTTAATCCTACTTTTATAATTTTTTTTTAGTTTTTTAAATTTTTTAAATTAATAATTATTAAAATTAATTGTAATTTTTATATATGTATATATATATATATAGTATAGAAATACGATAAAATATAAAAAAACTATTTTGTTGTAATTGTCATGGAAGCATTTCTCATTTTTATTTAGTTTAACTTGATGCTCTAAAATAAGTAAAACTTAAATAGAAATGAATAAAAACTATATAGACATATTTATAAACATAAATTTGTATTATATTTATAAATATAAAATTGTAACTAAAAGGAAAATAGAAAAATAAAAAATTTAAAATATTAACAAAAACTATAACAGTATCTCAATTATATTGAAATAACACTGCATTTTATCTACATCAGCTGAGAAAGTTGAGATTTGAGTTAAAATTAATGTTAAATTTTTTTCCCCATAAACCTATTTCAGAGCTTACTCATGTTTTAATAATTGGATTGAAGCATTGAGTATTCTGACAAAATTGCCTTGTTTTTAAGCAAAGTAACCAAATGCATCTCCATTAATGTTTCCAGAATCTTATTTTTATCCAATGTGCAATTTTAAAACATTGCTGTGTCATATTCTCTTATTTCACTTTCTCAAATCCAGCGGATGGCAAGAGTTTAGTGTCTGTGGGAATCGATGAAGACCACTCCCTAGTCATCTGGGACTGGAAAAAAGGCGAAAAACTGGCCAAATCCAGGTAAAACCAAACCTTTTTAATGGTAAAGAGTATGTAGAGCGAGCTGAATCGCTCTCAAATGACGTCTGTCTCTCTCTTTACCATAGAGGACATAAAGATAAGATCTTTGTGGTCAAAGGAAACCCGTTCCGCATGGACAAACTGCTGACGGTGGGAATGAAACACATCAAGTTCTGGCTGCATACAGGTAGAGACAGAAGATTCATATGTGAATGCATCCTAAATCGCAGCAGTAACACTTGCTTTTTAACTTAGGATGTTTGTTACATGTGCAGACGTTCGTTTCACTGAAATATTTCAAGCATAAGCTCTCGCCCGTATCTCTCACGAGAACATGACTGTGAGGAGAATCTGCCACATCATATTGAGCCGTCATAAGCTGATATGACTGTTTTGTCAACTTTTCCATCAGCGCTCCATATTTTACCAATTAAATGTGAGCAAGAGCTTTTAAATGTGAGCAGATGCTCCAGTAACTGAATTACTAATGCATCCGATGCTTTCTCCTCTGGATAAATTAAAAGCACTTGCTCAGTGTTTATATTTCAATACAGGAGGAGGTTTAACATTTAAAAGAGGCATTTTCGGAAATCTCGGCAAGCATGAGACCATGATGTCCGCCTGCTATGGACGCTCGGAGGACCTGGTGTTTTCTGGGGCGACGACGGGTGACGTGTACATCTGGAAAGACACGACGCTCATGAAGAGCATCAAAGCTCACGACGGACCCGTGTTTGCCATGTGCTCTCTGGACAAGGTGATTGCGTTTGCCACAGTTATATACTAGGGATCAGTGTTGGGGGTAATATATTACAAGTAACGCGAGTTGCGTAATCAGATTACTTTTTTCAAGTAACTAGTAAAGTAACGCATTACTTTTTAATTTACAAGAGTATATCTGAGTTACTTTTTCAAATGAGTAACGCAAGTAACTTTTTTTTTTCAATGTATTAATTGACAGCTCTCCTGTCCCCATGCTGAGAGAAATCAGAAGAAAATATATAATTTTTTATTTGAAAAACAAACAAGCAAGCCCTGTCCAGATTTCAAAAGTAACGCAAAAGTAACGTAACGCATTACTTTCCATAAAATGTAACTAAGTAACGTAATTAGTTACTTTTTTATGGAGTAACGCAATATTGTAATGCATTACTTTTAAAAGTAACTTTCCCCAACACTGCTAGGGATGTGCCACGATTTTCAAATATTCGATTAGTTGATTTAATTCTAGAATATCGAATAGGTTGTGCGATTATTGTCTTAAAAAATCTCCACATGTTTTCCGTGCTGATGCGGTGGTGACGCGTTCATGTAAGCAGAGGTTGGCGCTGCCAATAACACACCTAAAAGCTGTCAAAGACAACAGAAGAACACATTGTTTCACGCGCACACTGTAGACTTGCGTGGCATTAAAAAAAGACTTGCGTAGCATATAACGCTTACAGTAACTTGGGACGATGTCAAATAAGAGTTCTGTGCCGACCACAAACACGCCCGACTGGGTTAGAGGTGTGGCTGAATCTGTATTCAGAAAGGCACGGAAAACAAATAAGGCGATCTACGGAGCCACTAAAGGGACATGGTTAGCCGCTTGCTTGCCTGTTACATTACAGTACATAACATTTCACTTACCACATAAACAGAGTAAGGAGAGCTGACTGATAGGATGATGGCGAATGATTTGCAGATCCTGAGCAGCACTGACAAACACCTAATCTTGTAAAATGTGTGGTACGTACTGCCGAGTACTTTCTCGAATCTCGAAAGTGAAAGTAAAAAAACAAGCGTGCGTTCAAAAGCGATTTCAATGCCTCGCATATTAATAACGGCTCCCTGATTCCCGCAGTTTATATACAGTATAATTGCCCAAAGATATCATTGAAGTAACGTATATTTTTCTTCCCATCTCGTATCTATTCTCTTTAGGGTTTCCATTTTTTGAAATGGAAATATCTTAGCCTTATGAACAGTTGATTTATGCTAATAGACGGAGAGTTATGTTAATAAGTGCCATCATTCGGTTATGTTTATTATATTAATGTTTCAGCACGTTACAATCATTATATGGCTTGAGTTAAGGTAGCCTATCTTCTAAATTAAACAGTTTATTATACAGATTGAAAGCGTGAATCCCATCTCTCTCCCTCTCTCTCAGTTTATGGGTGTTTGTGCGTGCATGCAGGGGAGGTGTGCGATTTTCGAATAATAATCTAATAATACCCAGCGATTTTCTAATATTATTTTTGCTTGTAATGCCCATCCCTATTATATACAGAGTACTTGGCATCCTGCTTAGTCTGTGCATTAAATATAGTTCAACAGTAGGTAAAAATGTATTTCTTAGCTGTTAATGGTGTGTTGTGACCTGAAGGGTTTTGTGACGGGGGGTAAAGATGGAGTTGTTGAGCTGTGGGACGACATGTTCGAGAGATGTCTGAAGACGTATGCTATCAAGAGGGCGGCGCTCTCGCCTTCATCTAAGGGTGATTATAAATCCTCAAAACAGACATTTTTTTTAATTAAATTAATGTACTATATTGTGTTTCAATAATATTTCATGGTACTAGACAATATTTACTTCAAAATAATATTTATTTATATATAAAATAATAATATGTAAATATAAATTTTTGAAAAAACAATTAATGTTTTTTATTAATGCAGTGTTGTTTTAATGAAATTTGTTTCAATAATATTTAATATTTTGTATTGTGAGGGGATTTCATGGTACTAGACAATATTTACCTCTAAAAAATATGTATTTCTATATCAAATAAAAATATGTAAATATAAATATTAGAAAAAACTATTAATATTATTTTTAATTAATGCAGTGTTTTTTTTAATGAAATGATTGTATTATATTTTTTCAATAATATTTATTATTTAATTTTTTGTATTTAATGATACTAGGCAGTATTCACCTCTAAAACACAATTTATTCCTATATAAAATAATACAAATTTTAATAAAATAATGCATATTATTTTCAACTAATACATTGTTTATGTGTTAAGGTAATACAGTGTTTAATTTTGTTTAACGAATGTACTATATTTTGTTTCAGTAATATTATTTAGTATTTTGAGGGGATTTAATGGTACTACAAATTTTACACTTTCAATATAACAATGCAAATATTAGAAAAACAATTCATATTTTCAATAATTAAAGTGTTTGTTAAATTAATAGTGTTCAGAGTTTTTTTTAATGAAACAAATGTGCTGTATTTTGTTTTAATGATATTTATGATTTAATATTTTGTATTATCAGGGGATTACATGGGACTAGACAATATTCACCTCTAAATTATTCACTATTTCTAATAGAAAAATAATTCATATTTTAATGAATACACTTTTTCTGTTAAATTAATAGTGTTTAACTTTTTATTGAAATAAATGTACTATGTTGTTTCAATAATATTTTTTACTTTTTTAGGGATTTCATAGTACTAGACAATATTTGCCTCTAAATAATACACTATTTCTATACAAAAAATAAATAAAAAATAGTGCATATGATTTTCAATGAATACAGTGTTTAATTTAAAAGGCAGGCAAATTGGTGCCATCTCTGGACCACAAAACCAGTCATAAAGGTCAATTCCTCCAAATTGAGATTTATGGATCATCTCAAAGCTGAATGAATAAGCTTTCCATTGATGTATGGTTTGTTATGATAGGAAAGATGTCAAAATACTGACAAAATCATCTTTAAAGTTGTCCAAATGAAGTTCTTAGCAATGCATATTACTAATCAAAAATTAAGTTTTGATATATTTACGGTAGGAAATTTACAAAATATCTTCATGGAACATGACCTTTACTTAATATCCTAATGATTTTTGGCATAAAAGAAAAATTGATAATTTTGACCCATACAATGTTTTTTTAGCTATTGCTACAAATATACCCCAGCGACTTAACACTGCTTTTGTGCTCCAGGGTCACATATATTCAGACACTATCAAGGACTACTTCATCATGGCACCCCAAAAATGACTCTGTATTTCCCATTCAGTTTCTATGGTGGTCATTACTGTCAAAAGTCACCAAGTTTCATACCATTCCTATGAAGTAAAAATTAAAAAAATGGAAATGACCACAGACCACCAGACTTACTTTATTGTTCTTCTGTTTTTATTTCTTAGGGCTGCTGTTGGAGGACAACCCGTCCATCAAAGCGATCACTCTGGGACACGGACACATTCTGGTCGGCACCAAAAACGGAGAGATCCTGGAGATCGACAAGAGCGGCCCCATGACTTTACTCGTACAGGTGTGTGTCACTCTCAAATATACAGCTGCAAATACAGATGCAGAGTAAAAAGATAGAAGGTCAGGCTGCTCAACTAGTTCAAGTCTGTGTTTGACGTGTGTTTTAGGGTCATATGGAGGGGGAAGTTTGGGGCCTCGCTGCTCATCCACTGCTGCCCATCTGTGCCACTGTGAGTGACGACAAAACGCTGCGGATCTGGGAGCTTTCGGCCAACCATCGAATGGTGGCCGTCCGGAAACTTAAGAGAGGTAATCTTCTGCCACATTTGAAAGGTCTCCGATTCAGAATCACAGACGGTTTTGCTGTCGTGTGTGTTTGTAGGTGGTCGATGCTGTGCCTTCTCGCCAGACGGAAAAGCCTTAGCGGTGGGTCTAAACGATGGCTGCTTCCTGGTGGTGAATGCAGACACGCTGGAAGACATGGTGACCTTTCACCACAGGAAGGAGATCATCTCTGACATCAGGTTCTCTCAAGGTAATCAACTGGCATGGGTGGCAGTTTTAGATATTAATATATCTATACATACATACATACATATATATATATATATATATATATATATATATATATATATACACAAATTACCAAATTATCTTTTGCAGGGTTGCAGGGTAGCCAAAATTGATGTACGATTTAATTTGATTAATGAATTGGTGCATCATGTAATTAATTAGATAAAAAAAATTTAAAAAGTGCTTGATTTAATTTTATATATATATATATATATATATATATATATATATAAACATACATTTATAATAATACAAAAATCTAATTGTATATATACATTTGTATAATTGTAAAATATATTTGCAGTATTATGTGTATAAATTTATATATTAGTATTAATAATTGAGTGTTAATTTTAGTATAATAAACAAATGAATATTAAATGTATTTCATTTTGTACAAATGTCATAAAATTTTTTATATATATATGTGTATATATATATATATATATATACAGTGGGTACGGAAAGTATTCAGACCCCCTTAAATTTTTCACTCTTTGTTATATTGCAGCCATTTGCTAAAATCATTTAAGTTAATTTTTTTCCTCATTAATGTACACACAGCACCCCATATTGACAGAAAAACACAGAATTGTTGACATTTTTGCAGATTTATTAAAAAAGAAAAACTGAAATATCACATGGTCCTAAGTATTCAGACCCTTTGCTGTGACACTCATATATTTAACTCAGGGGCTGTCCGTTTCTTCTGATCATCCTTGAGATGGTTCTACACCTTCATTTGAGTCCAGCTGTGTTTGATTATACTGATTGGACTTGATTAGGAAAGCCACACACCTGTCTATATAAGACCTTACAGCTCACAGTGCATGTCAGAGCAAATGAGAATCATGAGGTCAAACGAACTGCCTGAAGAGCTCAGAGACAGAAATGTGGCAAGGCACAGATCTGGCCAAGGTTAAAAAAAAA